GATGGTATTGAATACGGAGTGGATGATGATTCACAACGATTGGTCCAAGATTGGCAGTGCAGTACTGGGACAATATGCCGAGGACAGCGTTCAGGATACACAAAGATAAGATTCAAATGGTCTGTGTGCACCATCCGATGTATACAGCAATGGATTGGTAACTCCATGTTACGCTCCTAAACTTGATCGTGCAATGGCCAAGCTGCCTACACGCCCACCTGGCCTTGCCAGGACATCGGGTACATCTGGACACATCGGCCATATCGTTGAGGATAATTTGGTCACCAACATGAGAGCATTTTCCGACCTTAACCAAACAAGCAAATTTCGCCGCAAGCTCACTACATGGCTGACTGCGCGCGGAGGCTTTGGAGGTATCGGATCATACCCCAAGACGGTGGCAACGCCATCCGATCACCCAGATGGTTGGGTGGCAATATCAGACAATGCAGGGGATATGGCAAGTACCTATCGTTGGCAACCATACAACGAGGGCAACGACTTCTTCGGCGAAGCCGCTGACCAGATCGGCCAGATCGACCCTGGTCTTACCCCTGGCCATGATGTTGACCCATTCGAGCTGGACCAAGCAAAGTATAGCGCTTTCTGTGGTGGCCGTTTAGTTTCTACTCTACTTTCAGATAATGGGTGGTATTCCCTCATACAAGAAGACTTGGGACTACTATTGCATCATGCATTTGGGCCATCTGGACACGCGTACACATGGGCCAACTTTCACACCGACTCAACATGGATCATGCAGGCCAAGAACAAGTCCAAGAGTGCAAAACACAAGAAGTACCCAACTTACGGTATCGACGAGCTCAACACTGCACAGAGGCGAGAAGAACTCGCCAAGGCGTCAAACGCTGCTCTCGCACCGCTATTTATGCCGTGCCTCAACCGCGCGGAATACATGGGCGGCGCTACTCTCGAGCATTTGTCGACCATTATCCGCGACGACATCATGATGTGGGCATTCTCCTTTGGCAATTATAAAGAATGGTTCAGACAGAACGACGCGCCAATCGGCCAAGATTGCGTTCGATTGCCAGAGGCTGGTGGAGACGACATCCGCTATGGTATGGAGGAATTACGTAAGCAGCGTTTCGAGACACAAGAAAACCGTACCACAGCTATTCTCAACAACCAATATGAGAGCACTCTCGAGCAGCGCAATATGATCAGGAAGATCCGCGAAGCCAGATGCCTCATGTTTCAAAGCGACAATGCTTCCATCAAAAAGTGGCGCGAGTTAAACGAGACTATCTGGGAATACTGGGCCAACGATTTCCCATCATATGTGAAACAAAGACATTATTGCAGGGGCCGTAATGCCATGCTGGCATGGAGCGCGAATGACATCGCATGCGCCAATCACGGACGAAACACCGTGGACATGCGTCGACATCAGAATCGTGCACCCACTGACGCATACGAGCTCCAGAAAATGGAATGTGAGGGCGGCGTCCCGACTCTCATGCCCGTACATGTACACGTGGACGTATCACGTTTTGTCGACGTGATGCAGTACTTTCGCTGCCCCACAGTCATGGGGCCTGGGAAAGCAGCGCAATGGGGCGTACATCCGAATTTTGATCACCACACGAGCGACCTGATCAATATCATGCAGAATCGTGGTATCACTGTTCTTCCATCAGATCATTGGGTGGATACGTACGATAGGATTACCCCGCAGGCTTGGCACGCCAAACAGAACAACCATACCATGGCAATGTTTACAACGCAGTTCTGCGACGCAGTATGCTATCGCAACTTCTGCGCCTTGATCCAGTCCCTGCCTTCTCAGCCATATCCATTCATGGCGCCATTACTGATTCCTGTCACGGATGAGCAGGCCTACACACAGGCCAAAGAGATCATGGCAGCCCTCGGTTTCAGAGAGAAGATGACAAACGAATGGAAAAGAGATCTCAGCCTCACGACGTTGATGACACAGACGGCAAGCGAAATGGCTCATTGCGCGTGGATGGCATCATGTGCCGATGGTACGTTGCCGGCATCACTGCCTGCTGACGCAGGCGACACAACGGAACCTATGCCTGGAATGCCGACACGTACACCAGCACCTGATCCTAGCGAGCCAGATAAAGGTATTCCTGACAATGATCCATGGGGTATGGCATACAACGACTTATTCCAGTACCTCATGCTGTTGATCAACGACTACCCTGGGGCTTGGGCATCCTGGCATTCTGTTGAGAAAATGGAGCTCCTTCATCCCAATATCATCAAAACGGTTGAGGATGCACATGCAGTCACTTGGGTTGTGTTCGAGCAATTTTTACAACAGATCAAAGATTTGGATGGAGATGATAATGCGACCAAATCACGACTCATTGCGGAAGACAACAGGTTGACTTCTCACTGCATCGGCCCTGCTGCCGAGAACGAGAAGAACATCATAGCATGCAAAACATTCTTCAGGCAGAATGCACTAGATCGCGTGGCATTGGGCCATGACCCCGATGTTCCAACAGCCGTGTGGAGGGCAGCAGCTGAGACAGCACAGCCAGCCCCACCAGGCCCATTGCCTGATCCACTGCAACCTGAACCGCGATCGATAAAAGTGCCACAACCATCGACTCCTGAACCAACAGCAGACCAGCAGCCAGCAGACCAGCCCCCCAAGGCTGAGGCGGCACCGATCCCTGACGACGGCACTGACCTTGATGCCATGGAGCTGGAGGCAACTCCTGCCGAGGAGGACCCGTCTCCACATGAAATGAATATATTATCATGGCAGGACAGCTGTGAGCGTTCCATGTACGAGGACATCAGCAAGGTCGGGATATTCGATAACGCATGCACTAGTCGAGAGTGGAAGCTGCAAGCAGGCATCAAGGATGACCATCCGTACATGTGCCCAATGTTGAGGGGTACACGCGCGACCAATGGATTTGCCTGCCTGGAAAATCAGGATTGGTTTGATCAACTGTTGCACGATGATTGTGTGATTGCTCACGCGCCTGATATCGCACAGTCTGGTTGCTTCCCAGAGTGGAAATGGATATCGTTACCACATTACGACGATGTACGTTATGGTCCCGAGCTAATTGAGGAAGAGTGGCTGGGAGCAAACAAATGGATGAGCAAAGACATAACGACCATGTTACGCCACGAGATTCACTACAAAAAGTTTTGGATCAACCAATTTCATGATAGACGTATCAACATCTGGGAGAAAACAACAAAGAATGAGTGGAATATTCCAAGCAATTGGAAATCCTTTAAGGAAATGGTTGAATGGAAATTCAAATATCGCAAAGACAGGCACAATGGACCATCCATGGACGCAGCAGTGACACACTTCAAGAAAGATGGTGCAAATGGTGGATATGCCGATTGGAACGACTACTACCCGATCTTCATCATTCGTGCGTTCCAGAAACATATTGATCCGCAGAAAAACAAAATTGAGATATACGCCAAGCCGATCCCCGAGGGAGGTGACCCCAGTTGTTTCGATTGGAACAGCGCCATTGCTATTCGATGTGTTGGCGGTCACAGTTGTGTCAACCCACTTTCCAAGCCATGGAATATGGGATGGGAGAGCCTACAATGGACAGATGTCAAATACCTCCATCACGGCACAGCAGCCCGCGCTTGGCGCAACATATTGAAGACAGGGATCATTCCAGGCTACATCGATCCATCTTCTCAGAGAGACAAGCATCATAAACCATCACAGCGCTCGGAGGCATTCTCCAGTTCCAGCACATATTTAGACAATGTCCAGAAGAATCCCCATACCTCAGTGGAGTCATACAAGTTCAATAGCTACAAGAACGAGGTCGAGCTGGTGATCAATCTGGAGATCGCCACAAAAGCAGGTTGCAGGTTTTGGCTGGGCGCTCAAGGCGCTATTATGACAGAGGACGTGGTGCCCGCTGCGGCAATTATTGCAATTCGCCGCCTCAAACCACATCACATGCACGGCCAGCAGCTATGGCCAGACGGCGACCCATGGGACTACCCGCCATTGGCCGCGAGACCGCCATTGAGCAAGTAAGAGATTTGTGCCTACCTCCCTGGAGAGTTCATCGACGACCCTCCTGGGGTTGCACCTGTCGACACGGACCAGAACGTGGAGCAGCCAAGGACAACGTCAGCGTCAGCAACTTCGGCTCAGCTGGGGGCAACCCCTGCTAGCCGTACATCTGCAGCCGATGCCTTGGATGAGCAAATAGTCCGCGCTATGATTCGGGAAACCAATCACAAAGCAGATGATAAAGAGCGGTTAATTGCCTTGTCATACTGCCGAGAAGCTCTTCGACCTATCACATCAAATATTACACAAAAATATTGGGACCGTCGCCCTGCATTTAATGATGTTCGCATGGGGGACTTTGTTATCATTAAGAATTGGGGATCTATCAAATGCTTTCATTACGACAATCACTGGCCCAAGGGCAATCACAATACTAAAATTCCCTTGACCAAGGGACACATATATGGTCCAATCATTCATTTCGGCGCCTTTGACAAGTTCTTCGCGGTACAGATACCGATTCTCAACTACGGTTTACGATGGGTAAACATATGGTACATCGACAAAAGCATGCCTCTCAAGGGCGTCGTCTTTGCATTACCGATTCGTATCGACGAACATGCCATTGACCCTTGCGCACCGCCAGCTCTTCGAGCTGAACCGGCACGTCACCGAGAGCTACGCAAGGTGAGCGGCGTGCCGGAGGTGAGTCGGGCTCTCGGCGCCCGTGAGGCCCACTTCAGCCCGGTTCTGAGCCTCGTCGTGTACGCATTCTTTGCATATTTCACACCTGCCTTGAGCAACATGGGAGACTTTTCAGGTACCGTCACATATCTTACACATCGTGAGCATAATCGACAGATGCACATCCTGCACGGCAATGGTTCTCCGGCAGCCAAGCCGGGAGGGAAGGGCCGTGGAGGAGGAGGGCGAGCTCGGGGAAAGGGGAAGGGCAGAGGCCAGCAGGTGCCGCCGCCGCCGCCGCCAGGGCCGGTGCCCGCGCAGGCCGCGAGGGCGGGCGCAGGCGCCTCCGCCGTGCCAGTCGCTCCCAGCCCGGCCACCTTCGAGTCCTACATCTCTGGCATGCGGGCGGCCATCAGCAGCATCGACCAGATGCCGGCGGAGGTGGACACCTACTACGACGAGCTCGAGCAGGCCATGCCCGACCACCTCCGCGCCATGCAGCAGCCATCTCTGGTCCAGGAGGAATGGTCGGCGCCGATTCTGCCTCACGGCGAGCTGGGCCCGCGAGGTGGAGTGGCGATCGTGCCCAAGAAGCACATCCCGGCCACCCTGGCTCGTATTGGCCAGACGCTGCGGCCGACAGCCATGCTATGCACGCAGTCTCCAGGAGAGCTCGGTCTCGAGGGTCTGCCAGCCACGCGGGTGTGGCACTCTCTCGTGGTGCAGTCCGAGGCCTCCCCGTCCACGATCTGGGTTCAGCGCTACCTCATCCAGCTGGGGCGCGACACGGCCAACCGCGTGCACATGGAGACGGAGGGCCTCCCCACCATCCAGGAGGCAGTGTCCATGGTCAAGGTTACGCTCAAGTTCGACTCCGAGGCGGGTTGGAACAGCGAGCTCATCACAGCACTAGTGGTTTCCGACTTCCTGAAGAAGCTCGTTGGGGAGCACGCCTTCTCCGACATCACAGTTCGGCAGGATGGCCCCTCCACCGCCCTGGTTGTGTCCAGCAAAGTCGAGAGCCTCTTGAGGACCAGCGGTCAGGCCGGAGTGTATTCGAAGACGCATCCTTCCGTGACGAATCCAGATTTTTCGCTCGAAGTGGCGTGGCTGCCCGCTGGCACTCTTGTTCACGAGGTCTTGCAGTTTGCCGCTGCGGAGGCCGACAGCTGGGGAGTAGCCAAGAAGTCCAGCGCGGAGGCTCCTGTGTATGGCCTGCGGTTTCGGACCGCCGCCAAGGCCGCAGCCTTCCTGACGAAGCACGGCCTCGAGGACACCACTCTCCTGGGGCGCTTCCGGGTGAGCGGGCTCTCCAGTGCGTCTGGCGCTGCAGGGGTTGTGGCGATGCTCCAGCAGGTCCAGTGGGAGATCACCGACGTCCCATTTTTGGGCGATGGGCACGCCATCGTGTTGTCCAAGGCTGCTCCCCCGGGCCCACGCTTGAAGCTCGTCAGAACAGATGGGTCTGCCGTCGTGCTGCAGATCCACGCGGTTACGTCCAAGGCCCAGGAGCTCTGCAAGGCCAAGGGCATCGCGTGCCGATCCACCGACGCAGACGGCGATGGCATGCAGGCAGTCTCAGTATCCAAGCCTGCGTCCTCCTTCGCTGCGCGGGCTCTGGCTGCCAAGCAGCACGCAAGGGCGAAAGCACTGGCCGATTTCGCCAAGCCCTTGGTGGCGGCGCCGCCGCCGCCGCCTCGCCAGCGAGACCCAGGAGGCACGCCAGAGAGGGGGGCAGCACTGCGCCTCCGAGTCGAAGCCGAAGGAGCCAAGCCGGCCGCCTTGCCAGAGGTGCCGGCGATTCCCAAATAAGTTCTTTGATGTACTACGTCTGCATGTTTCGCATGACTCGCGACGTGATCCTGTTTGGATTTTTGTGCGTGAGTTCATCGAGAGCTTTGAATTCATTCTTGTATTTCCTGTATGGGAACATACGCCTCTCCTTTTCCAATGTGACCTCTGCTAGAAGCAAGGTCCCGCTACTGTGCGAGCACGCCCGGGCTGGGGCGCACTTTTTGGCTGAGACGTGGCATTATGATGGCGTGGCGCGTATGATCCAAGCAGAAGCTGACGACTATGCAGATGGCCGGGGGAGGTTCCAGTTTATCTTCGGCGACACCGTGGCTCCTGGGGCGCACTCTGGTGTTGGCATGTGCGCAGGGCCCGATCTGGGCAGAGTCCGCTTGGTGCAGCCCCCTGCGGAAGCCGCGCCATTTGTCAAAGCTGGCCGGCTGGCGCTCTACCATCTCGTCCTCCAGGGAAGCCGGCGGCGCAAATCCGACAACGGACAGGGGCCAGTATTTGTCTTTGTGCTTTACGGCGATCAACATGATCCGCGTGCTCGTGACGAACTATTCCTCGCCATCGAAGAGTGGTCTTCCGCACTGATGCATGCGCCCGTGTTGATCTTCGGCGATTTCAACACCGTCGTAGAGGAGTCGCACGTCCTGCGGCGGTGGCAGTACACTGGCAGATTCCACGACCTGTTCCACGAGTGCGCCATCACGCAGGGGACGGGGCCAAAGCCCACTACTCGAGGACGCCAAGGGCAGAGGCGCATCGACATGTGTTGGATCAATCCTTGTGCTCGCTATGTCGTGTCGCCCTCCTGCCGACAGGAGCAGATATTCTCCACTCATGACACATTGGTGATCGAGCTCTGTCTGCAGTCATTCGCGCAGCGGGTGGGCAGGCGGAGCATGCCTCCACCGCTGCCTGTGGGCAAGTGCCTGGTGTCCCCCAATGATCTGGTGCAGATCCGCTCCCTGAAGCAACAGGAATGGGAGGCCCTGGCCGCGATCGTGGAACCAAGGCGGGCAGCTGAAGCACGCGACGTTGAGGGGCGCAGGGAAGCTCTCTCAGGACTGTTTGAGTTGTGGGCGCTGCGCGCAGAACACCTCCTAGTGCGAAAGGCGGGTCTCCGGTGGCATCCGCGCCACCATGCACGTGGTCGGTTGCAGCCCGTCCGCAAAGCATATGTTGTGCCGCCTGTATCACGAGCCAACCGAGAAGCAACATCCTCAGCTAGCCGTCATGTACAAGTCACCAGATGTGTACATTTACAGCGGCGTTTGGAGGCACTCCGAAGAATGCAGGTGCATGGGCCTCAGAAAGTCAGGACGTGGAACAATCTGTACAATTCGCTCTACCGCTTCTTCATCAGTGAGCGGCGTCTCCCTCATGCTTTTCTCCCACGAGGCATGCCTAATGACGCAGAGTATGCCGCGATCGCCGAGCAGCTGAGCGGGAAACTGCAACATTTCACGGCCAGAGCGGAGCGCAGGCAGATGGCCCGGCGCAACTCAGCCCTCAGGACATCCCGTCGGTTCGCCTACGTGGCCGGTCAAGATCTGGCGCCGTCGCATTTCGTGAATGTTGCCCCTGGTGGAGCTCCGCCAGAATACACCACGTCTATTCCGGTCATCGATGAGAAGGTGCGCGCTTTCTGGAAGGACGTATGTCGGCGACCGGATACATCCTTCCCTCACCTGCTGGAGAAGCTGTTGGACACAGTTCCAGCGCATCAGCCTTTCCCGTTGCGCCCCATCACGTCTTCTGACATACGATCGGCTTTGGCCAAGAGCAAGGGCGGCCCGGGAGGAGATGCCTGGACGTCAGCCCAACTGCGGGCGGTCCCAGAGCTCTACGATCAGCTGGCGACGCTGTTCATGATGGCCGAGAAAACTGGCATCAACCCTTCGCAACACTTGTCTGGCGATGTCACTTGTATACCTAAGCCTGGCTCCTCGGGGCACTTCTCCGAGCTGCGACCAATCACTGTGTTGGCTACGTTGTATCGCCTCCACGGCACCGTGCGGCTCCAGACGACATTGTTTGATTGGCAGGAGCACGTCATGGGGACGTACCCTTTCGCCGGCTGTCGGCGGCGTACGTCTGCTCGCCATCTGTCCTACCCTTTTGCCGTCTTCGTGGAGCACGGTGAGGTGTTCAATCAGCAAGTGTGGGCTGCCGCCTACGACCTGGAGAAGGCTTTCGAGTCCATCAGCACGGAGCCGGATGGGCACCTATGGCGGATCTTGGCGAAGACCGGCTATCCACAGCAGCTCGCGGCGCCGGCCCAGGACTTCCACGCCAATCTCGTGGTGAGGTACAAGTACTCCGGCTTCCTGGGGCAACCTTTTGGCTTCGCAGACGGGCGCCGGGGAGCGCCGCAGGGCGATCCGCTGTCCATGGTCTACATGAACGCCTTGGTCTTCGTGTGGATGACCGCCGTCGAGCACGGGATCTCCCTTCCCCCTGCACCCCGCCCCGCCCCCCCCTCCCGCGAGGGAGGAGGAGGAGGAGGACGACGACGAGGAGGAGGAGGAGGACACGCCGTGAACGATTGGTCCACCGAGCTCGCCGAGATCCTCGCCGGCGGCCCGGATACTGTCTCCAGCTGCTCCCTCGCCGTGTCGTCGGCGAAAGGTGATCTCCGGTACGGCGGCTACGCTGACGACACGCACGTTGCCAGCCATCACCAATGCCAAGTTCGCCGTGCACATCTTATTACTGTCATTTGGGCCATGTGTCTTGCAGTCAAGCTCAGTGCCACGAAAAGCTTGGCCTTCGGAGGAGTTCGTTTGCACGTGGGGCGGAAGCAGCTGCCCGCCGCTTCTGGCGTGAAGATGCTGGGAGACTGGGCCGCTATCCAGGATGGGGACATGCGTGATCCCGTGACGCTGCCGGCCAAGCGCGTGCAGACATGCCAACAACGCCTGCCTCGTATTGCTGAGCTGCCTGGCACCAGAGACCAGCGCTTGAGCATGATCGCCACGAGCGCAATCCCTACTCTCTACGGTTCTGAATTTGCCGACGTGCCAGTCAAGGACGCCATGGGCCTTCGGAAGGCTGTCTGGAAGGCTGCGAGAGGAGGGCGTGAACCACTCGCCACAGCTGCCTTGGAGGTGTGCATGACCATTTACGCCCAAGGGCACAGGCTTGATCCCATGCAGTGCTTTGATTACCAGCGGATCATTCTCTTTGCTCGCTACTCGTGGCCAGACCGCGGCACGGCGACCGAGATCGAGGCCCTGCGCGTGCATTGCAGCAGACTGTCCGGCACCATCCCTTGCGAGGGGCCAGTGTCGCTGCTCGTGCGGTCGCTTCGGCCCATTAAGTGGGCGTGGGAATGGGATGGTACCAGCGCCGGCTGGATTTTCATATCTGGCTGTGGCCGGCGTTGCGCTCTGCCGGTGCCAGCTGACGAGTGGGATACGTTCGTTCACCATCTCCGAGATGCTCTCCGGTCGCGAGAATTGTGCGATCTTGTCAGCACTTCGAGGCGGAATGGGCTCCGCCCCCGCTGGGAGTTCCAGGGCGTTCAGGGGGGTATCGATTTTGCTGCTCACCGCGAAGCTTTCCTTGAGTGTGACCCTTGGGACGGAGGCGTGCTTACAAACATCGTCACTGGGGCTGCATGCACACGAGAGCGTCTGTTTCGGCACGGCAGGCGGGCCCCGCATCCGCACTGTGTATTCGACTCTTGCAAGGGCCGCGACGTGCTTGAGACCCGGGAGCATCGGTATTGGTGGTGCCCTCAGTGGGAGCACTTGCGGCCGGCCTGGTTCCGCAGTCTCCGCGCCCATGCTTCTGAACTGCCTGCGTGCGTGCTCAATTGCGCCATTGTGCCTGCGAGTGCAGACTGGACGGGCAGGTTTTCTTTCACCGTGGCGCAGCTGCAGAAAGTGTTCCTGGCCATTGACACTGCCGCCGCGACCCTCAACGGCGAGGCGGGCCACGCCGACCCCGGGGGCGGCGACGACCCCCCCTCGCGTCGACCAGCGGCTCCAGCAGCCTCGAAACATCCACAGGATCAGGTCGTCTTCTACACAGTGGACCTGCCTGATGGATCTCAAGCGAGGCGTGTGAAGTGCGAGAAATGCGGTCGATCTGGTCTGAGCACCTCCAACAGTATCTTGCACGATTTCTGGTTGAAGGAGTGCCGGAGCACGGGGCGCCTTGCAGGCGAGCGGGCACGGCCTACCATGTCGTTGGTCAACATCGACAGGTCCTGGGAGGTGGCCAAACCGAAGTTTCAGCGTGTCGTTGACCAGCTCAGCGAGTACCACCGACACCCTCTGCAGTGGTCAGGAGAGAGATATGCCCCTGTGACCTGTGGGCGTTGCAAGTGGGTCGTCATCCTTCACCCCATCATGGCCCGTGACCCCGAGGAGTGGCACAAGCATGCTCTGGTGTGCCCGGGCAACGCACGAGCAGCCACAGCTAAGCTGGAGGCTGCCAAGACTTGGGTGCATAATTATACTTTGCAGCCCCGTTCCGGGGCAATACATACTTTTGAATTACTCGGCAATGTTCACCACTGTACGAAGTGTGCGCTGTATTTCGCGTCCGTTCCTCGTGAAGGCACGTTGGTGCATCAGCCTTGTGGGTCCGCCAGGCCCAAAACACCGCGGCACGGCGCCCTGGTCCACTGGAAGGCAACAGGCATCAGACCGGCTGATGGCGCGAGGATTGCGTACTCTCCGTAGCCTCCCTGGCTCACCTATTCCTGGCTCAAGTTCCTTTCGGCGCATTCACGCAGCACGTGGTCAGTTTCACGCTGTTTGTAGTCGATTTCACGCAGTTTGTGGTCGATTTCACGCAGTTTGTTGACGATTTCGCCAGTTTGGGATCGTTTTCGTGCAGTCTGTCGTTGATTTCGCGTAGTTTGTGGTCGATTTCACGCTGTTTGCGGTCACTTTCAAGTTGTTGGTGGGCGATTTCACGCAGTGTACGGTCAATTTCAATCAGTTTGTGGTCGATTTCACACAGTTTGTTGTCGATTTCACGCAGTTTGGGGTCGATTTCGTGCAGTTTGTCATCGATTTCACGCAGTTTGTGGTCGATTTCACGCTGTTTGCAGTCAATTTCGCGCTGTTTGCGGTCAATTTCACGGTGTGTGTGGTCAATTTCGCGCAGTTTGTGGTCGATTTCACGCTGCTTGCGGTCAATTTCAAGTTGTTTGTGGTCGATTTCAAGCAGTTTGCAGTCAATTTCGCGCAGGTCGTGGTCGATTTCACGCTCTTCTTCGTCGGCCTCACTGTGTGCTTCTAGTGGTGCGTGTCCTGCTTCTTCTTCCTCCTCGTCTTCTTCGGCTTCCTCCTCTTCTCCGTCAGAGTCACCGTGGTGAACCCGATAGGGTAGATGTCTGTTTTTCTTCTCCCATATGGTTGTGGTCTCGTGCCAGGTAACCGGGACAGCAGAGCGAACATGCCATTGACCCGACATATATGAATACTGTCCTGGAGGGACCATCCTCATGCCGTGACAAGATACTCCAGCACAAGAATGATAGTAGTTTACCGTACCTTGGTATGCCGAGCATTTATAGACCACGTATTCCGCGTACACCGACCAGACGACCCGCTCCTCGGACACCCGATCCCGACGAGCTGGTGGCCACACCTGCCGAGGACACCGCTCCTACGGGCGATAGACCTCAACAAACTGCAGGATCATCTAATGAACCCCTGGTTACCGTTATCGTGGACATATCCAACATATCGCTCACCGCTGATGAGAAAGCAGCGAACGACAACATGAGAGCAGATCTCCCAGCCGAAATTCAAGCAGATGAGCACGTTGACGCGAGCATACTCGACAACACCATTGACCCGCCAGCAGACTTCCTCAACCATCCAGACTACGACCCAGACGAGGATTCAAGGTGGATTAGACAGTCAGATGACCGCCGCATATATCGTTGGACTTCGGAGTTGTTGGTGGATTCGCCTATGATAAAGATGAAACAGATCATCGAGATACACAGCGTTGCGGACAGAATTGTAATGGATAAAACACAATCGCACTTACAATTCGAGATTCGATTCGGATCGAAAGCATGGAATGCAGAGTCATACCACTTGAATTATGATCATACCCACAAATGGGCACGTGACTTGCCAATTTGCAGTGCAGACCACTTTTTCAAAAAGTTGGTACATTACCTGGACCCAGAGACTATCGAGGAGTCGACTACTGGCGTCTTTCAATGGATCTCCAAAGTATATCAGAACATTTTGATGGACAGTATTACGGAGCTCCCTGATTTCACAAAATATGCCATCCATCAGAAACATCCTGCACTCCAAGCGTTGCGTGACCTATTCAAGTATTGTACCGAGACATACGGTAACCCAGACTTCCCCGTATGGGAGGAGCTGGTGGAAACACCTGCCGCGCCTCGTGAGCAAGGCGCGGAGCAGGATATTCCCCAGGACCCAGGCAGCGTTGCATCCGCAGCTCCTGATCAGGAAACCATGGTACGCATCATAGCCGAGCAGACGGGACTCAAGCGCGAGGAGGGCGACAACGAGTCCGCCTTGCAGGAGAAGGCTCGCCGTCTTCGCACCGAAAACATATGCCATGGTGGTACCGAGGATGCGGACAACAACAAGACAGAGTACAAAGGACTGCCAGGGGAAAGATGGTCTAGGATCGAGATTGAGGGATTGAGTAGATCAATCGCTTCCCGACCGAACACCGAGATCAATCGCGAGGCCATCAATCAGATCGGCCATAGTCCCGCTCGCGGTCAGGACACTCGCTGGGGATCCCGCGATTACCTCACGACGGAGGGGGGCCCAGAAACGATCTTGCATAACATCCCGCTCTGTCAGAATTGCGGTCGAGATTTATCCCTTGGGATCGTCACAGGTGATGGTACCCTTTGTGACATCTGTTGGCAGTATACCGTAGCCGTAGGTGCTACGGGTAAGAGTACCGCCGTCCAGAGCGATCTGGCGTACCTCCACAAGCTGACCAACTGGATCAAGACGACGCTCTCCCAGGACGCCATCGCGAGATACATGAAAGACGGAGTGCAAGTCATTATGACGGGCGCACGATCACACCCAGATAATGAGACAGATTCGTTGGGGAGAATGGCTAATGCGTCTAGGAAGAGGCATCAGAAGTGGGTCGAATCTGGTAGCCCTCCTGCACACGAGTGCAGACTGATGGGCGAAGCCGATGACGACAGACCTCTGTACTACCCATATGCCAATCTCGTTCAACGCTTTCTCAACGATTTGAAGTTCCACCATCAAATGACAGGCGCTCGCGTGAACGTGTGCAAGAGGGCCTGGAGCGTGGAGGACATGCGTGATGCGTGGGACATCCTCGATGTCAGCATCAGGGCAGGACAAGCTGGTCGGAAGAAATGGTGGCTGAACGAGGGCCGACTCGACAGGCAGACGCGGCAGGCTCGCGGACTTATCACGATTGCCCTCCCTAGAAGGGACGGCACCCGTGAAAAGTTCACTCAGCGTAAGCTTGCTGCGATTGCTAACGAATTGTTGGGCTCCCTCGATCCGTCACATACCGACCAGAGGGGGGTTGATTCAGGGATGAGAACCGATCCAACCGATCCCGATACACACTCCCATCAGTCCGATGATGCCATGGAGCCGCGCCATCCGCCGCCGCCGCCGCGCCCTGCCCCTGGCGATGCTGCACAGTCCAGCGCCTCTGGCGCGACGGACCACACGCCCGCGGGGCCACGTGCCAAGAGAGCGCGTACATCAGATTACGCCGCCTACTGGCGCGACGACCTCGAGGACAGCCATTGGGGCCTCAGGTATTGGAGCTACTGCATCAACTGTTGGATCTACATCGCGATGAACAACGACGAGTACGTATACATCCACGACATCCAGTACAATGGTTGGTTTCGTCACTGGATCCCGAGGACATCTTGGGGAACGTTCACGACGAGCTACGCGACGTACAACGGCCAGAGGATGTGGGACCGCAGGTTCTACAAGAACGGCAACGCGTAGTGGGTCGGCCGCAAGGCCCACCGCCCAAAGGCACGAACTTCATTATAACCAAAGTTCGCCTTGAGCGGTGGCTATACATACTTTTAGGCCACTTCATAATATAACACAAGTGGCCACACACACAAATGCCTTTTGCGATAACCGAGGCAGCCTCCCAAGGAGCAAAGCCAACGGGAGTCGCCAAACATAATTTATATACATGCAGTTTTCGTGTTTATCAACACGACATTCCGTCTGGCCAGACATTTGCTTTTACACGCAGTTGTGTTTCGTTGCAAGATCGCGTTCGTCAACGCGATCTTAGCATGCATATTCTTTAGAGTTTAACCTCATTGCGTTGAGAATAATCTGACAGCTGGTGGCAACACCTGCCTCGCAAAAGCGAGGCAGTTTACATGTTGCTTTGATGCTCAGATCTTCTTTCTCCGCCCACCCTTGTCTCATTCTTCTCCGCCCTCGAGTGCCGAAGCGTTTTGGGGGGCGCACCGAGGGGGCGCCAAAGTGTGCTTGGCGAAGAAATGGGGACCCAGGGTGTTCCTTCTTACTTCACTTTGCAGCTGAGGCTACACTGACTTTAAGCCCAGCTGCCTGCAGACTTAAGGATCATATGAGTAAAAGGGTGACGGATTCTCTTCCTTTGTTCCCGAGTCCTGCCCTCACGGGCGGGATTCGGGGCGGGGGGTGTGAATAGAACCCGTGTAATACCCTCATCTATACTCCTTATCCTTACCTCTCCTGCGCCTGGCCGTTTGGGCTCAGGTATTGAGATAGATCGATCATACCTTTGATCGTGCAGGAGGGAAAGACATCCATCTATCCCTCCTTCTCTCTACCAACGGATCAGGGGTTCTGTACCCTTGTACTTCAACCCCATACACAGGGGAGGAGGAAGAGGGAGGAGGAGGGGAGGGGGGAGAAGGGGGGAGGAAGAGAGACGGAGCAGGAGGAGGAGGGGGAGGGGGAGGGGGAGGGGGAGGGGGAGGAGGAGGGAGGAGGAGGAGGAGGAGGAGAGGAAGAGGAGGGGGAGGAGGAGGAGCAGGAGGAGGGGGAGGGGGAGGCGGAGGCGGAGGCGGAGGAGGAGGAGGAGGAGGAGGAGGAGGAGGAGGCGGAGGAGGAGGAGAGGGAGAGGTGGAGGAATGGGCCGGGGCAGGAGCGGGAACCTCGTCGCTCTCCACCCCCCCGTCCTTCTCCTGCTCCTCGCGCTGCCCTCTCCTGCTTCCTGCTTCGCGTCTCCCTCACGTGTTCCTATCCGTGCTGTTGTATCTCTCCTCCTTCACCTTCCCTTCTCACCTTTGTTTTTCCTCCTGCTCCGATTCGCCCTCTCCTTCCTTCCCAAATATTATATTTCCAGTTAGGTCCCCTCATTTTCATCTTGTTGCTCATGGTATTGCTCCTGCTCCTGCGCTTGCTGCTGCTGCTGCTGCTCCTCATCCTCCTCATCCTCCTCCTTCTCCACCTCCTGCTCTTTCGGCCGCCCATGGGGATGTGGACACTGGCACGTGGCCTGCAGCACGCCTGAGGTTGATCATTTTCGCCCCGACAGCTGGGGGGATAAATTGGATTCGCTGCCTCATCCTTCCCCTCGTCCTCCACACTCTCCTCCTGCCTTACCCCAGCCTCCTCCACCCATCCTCTTGGCAAACCTTTCCTCCTCGGCGCATCAACAGACGTGTCGGTAGCGCGGTCCTGGCGTATCTCTGGAGGCCCATCCCACAAGCAGTGATCGTCAAGCTTACAGCTTTCAGCGGCCAGATGGACGCAGGGCTCATTGTGCTCACCCTCTCTAGATCCGAACACGCACGACTGACAAGTTCCCAACAGTAGCACGAATGCATGGCAAGTGCGTAGGTGTGGACTTAGCGTAAGCTCCGCGCACGGCTCCGCGCACGTTCTTCTTAAAGGCTTGAATTCAGCACACTGGCTGATCAAAATGCATGATCATACAGCGTGGGTTGTAAGTAGTTGCTCGTGGATGACGGGAAGCTTCTTCTCAGAATCGAGTTTTCGTTTACACTGGAAGTTCACGCATGCTGTAGACAGGTTGGGATTTCCAGCAGTTGCGCGGACGGACGCGTCCCTCTTCAAACTCGCAATACTGCATCGGCACCAAATAATTTGTCTTCAGTTTTCGCATGTTCGTTGTGGTGTGTAGCGTTGTGCGGTCGCATCTTGACGTATGATCTTCGGGTCGCGTCTAACAGCAACGCGTTCTCGCCGTGGAGATCCATATTGCGTGGATCCGTCCTTGCCAGCCTTCGGGCCCGCGGGCGCGTCGGCAAGCTCCAAAGAAGAGACTGGGCTCGAGGGCAGACGTCAGTACACGTGTGTATTCCCCTTGCTCCTTCTTCGTCATTCGGGTGGCCTCGCAATGTCACAGGCAACGCATCCGTTTTCGAAAGGCAGCGCATGTGCCCCTGGCCCGGTGTCACCCCTCCAGGGCGTCTTTTGAAGAGCGCCGGGCTAGTTTTTGTCTGAGGCGCCTTGTCGTGGCTCCTCGCGGCTGTCGCCCATCCCATCGAAGCGTGCGAATTGTCGCGCCGAATGCGGAAGTCTCGGGTGAGAACTTCGGACATTTTGACGAATGGCCATTGTGATTCTGACTAGTGCCATATATTTACTGCTGCAATCTGGGCGGTTCGGGGCAGTCTGAGTGCGGAATGACCCCATTCTCGCCTTCGCCTTGGCGGCATGGCTTCGGCCTGGCAGAAGGGAACGCACGCAGTAGGACGCAGCGCCCCCTGCGCATGCAGACAGGGAGAAGCGTCTCACACCCATACCTCCCGGGCATGATCCAGGCGCACGATCCTATCTGGTCGTCGCTGTAACTCCAGGGCAGGATCCAGGCACACGATTCTGTCTGGTCGTTGCGGTTGGCGAAGGCCCTCCGTGGAGGCCACCTGGAAACCCTCGGTGATGGCATCCGTGTGCGCGCATGCTTCCAGGCCTCCCAGATAGGGCCCGAGTAACGGACAACGCGAACAGGCACGGGATTATTCTCTTTTGCAAATAGCCCAATGAGTGATATCCGACAGTAGACATACCCCCCCAATAAAGAGAGCCGGCATGGCGATCGATATTGGGCAAATAAGCCGGCCGCCGACCCCCGCACTTGCTTGCAAAGCCAGAGCTTGGGGGGTGGGTGCAGCACTGAGAACATCTCGCGTTCAGATGGGGTCACAGGATCGCGCCGTATCGTCGATGTATTGGCGATGCGGCTCGATGTGGAGCCCGATTTGCTCCACGCCGACGGCGCAGCTGCAGCACCGACGTCGCCGACGGCGCCGATGCATTGGCGATGTGGCGCGATCCTGCGACACTATCTTCCCGAATCCAATTTGGGAAGTCTCTACTGCCGCCACCCAGCCGAGGTCTTCAGGCGGCTGGACGACGCAGGCAGCGAGGCCACTCGGGGGGGGCGTCGAAGGGTTGGACGAGTACGGCAGGGTCGCGTCGTGTCGACCGGCGGCCACCCCGCCGCCAGCGTTCAACGTTGAACGCCGCCGGCGACCCAGAATCGGTCGATGTTGAAGGATCTGACGTTCCCGAAAAGGCCGATCGCTCAAGGATGAACGAGCCCCGCGGTGTCCGACACCAACGCCGAAGTCGGCACGACACGAATTTGCCGCACTTCAAGGGCGTAAAAAACGCGCGTACCTACCCTGGTTTACGAGGCGCTGTGCGCTGAACCTCCTTTGGGCTGACAGGGTAAACCCTGCGTGTCGCGCGGCGTCCTGGCGGCTCTATTGCTTCTGGGAGCTCCCAGGAGGTTTACAGACCACGCACTTGTAACCCAGGGTCCAGGGTCGTTTTTTCATCCCTCCGGCACCTGACTCCGGCACCTCCCGGCACCACGCATTTGAGCCCGACTCCTGCACCTCCCGAAGTTCTTACCGTTCTGAGTGCTTTCCGGCCATCCTGCGGCCCTCCCTTCCCCACCCTCCGGTCGTCCCACCTCGCTCCCGTCGCGCCCCGCCGTGCGCAGACCGGCCGCCTGCTGGAGCCACCGTACATGGACAATAAGTTAGAATTGTGCGGCGCAAGATACCCTCCACACGGCCAAAATTCAGATTGAGGGCGCGGCAATGGAGAGGGCATGGGTGGACAGAAATGTTCGCACCGCCAAACCACAACCCATGCTAAAATCAATATTGATTTCGGGGGCGGGGGGGGATGAACATTCCTCCTCAAGAGTCTGAGGGTTTGAATAGTTTGTCCACGTGCTGCAGCCCGCTGCCGAGCAGGAAGCTCTCCTGGAGCGGTGCACTCCGCAGTGGCCCGACCTCGCACTAGGTGTACAGCTTCGGGGGTGGCCAGGACGAGGATAAGTCTGTTTCAGAGCGTTCCTGAACGCTACCTGAGCGTTCCCGAACGCTCTGAGGAGGCCGCGTCGCCCGAGACATCCTCCAGAGCCACCGGAGCGCGGAGATTCTCGATTCATCTTCACCCGATGTTACGCTCGTCTTGGTTTCGTCTCACAGTTTGTATGAGGGTCAAGGTCGACCTTAGTTTGGAGGGGGTGCCCCCCGTGCTTTTCGTGTCGAGGTGCTCTGCCGTGGAGCGCCCGCCGTTTTGAAAAAGTATCTCGTGGCTTCGGGTCCTCAGTGAGGGTGTTCGTGCTCTTGAGCCCTCGCTCGACTGCATGATTTTCACCACGCGTTACGAAAGTACCCTTCGTTCCAGAAGCCCCCAGGTTTTCATATATATTTCTTCTGAATCTATAGGTCTTCCAATGTGTTTTAATTATTGTCACTGGTTTCAGCGTCTTTCGTTGTGTATATTTTTGCCGTATCAATGTTTGTTCAAGCTACATTACCACCACTTCTATATATATATATATATATATATATATATACACACCAGGTGTGTTTTGTTATTGCGCTTGCGTTGCGTTGAACGGCATGTGTTGCGTCGCGAAGAAGTTGACGCACATGTCGGTGAAGAGAGGTCGCTGTCGAGCGCCGATATCAAGGTGCATGATCCGCGCTGTCGCGCGCCCACGCATGATTGTAAGACCCAGGCGATTGACAAGGCAGTGATGGTGGTGGGAGACGATTGACAAATGTTGCCGTCGGGCGTTGCAATGCCCCAACACATGCACGATGACGATAGTGCGGCCGAATCAACACCTGCGACACAATGCCAAGGCAGTCATCGTAGACAATCATGTGTTCGTGAACAAGGCTTGCGTCGAGAACAGTCGTGTATCCTGAACGACGTAGCGCGCCAAGGAACCGCGAGCCCTGCCACAAACTTCCAGACATGGACGTACCAATCCATTGCGCCATTCACAGCGCAGATAAACTGAACGTGCCCAGCCGTCAAGCTGCCCCCGTCGACGTCGTAGCATACAAGGCCGCGCAGCTTAATTGCGCGATTGCGGACGGAACGTTTGGCTGCATGGCGAATTTTCGCCCCGAGCGCTTCGGCGCCCAGCGCGGCAGCCAGCAAAGGCGGGATAGCATTGCGTACGTCGCTGGACTTTACCCGCATGCTCGACACAAAAGGGTGCGACAGGGCCTCAAGCTGTCCGATGGTGAGGTATTCCATCAAACTGCGCTCATAAGCCTTATCGGTGCATCGATCAGTGAGGACTTGATTCATGCGTTTCTGCTTGCGCTGCAGAGCGAGTTGAGCAGCTTACCGTGCGTGCGAAGGCGATCTGGCAGGCGCGTGGCAACATAGCACTTCGGCAGCCGCGACTTCAGGTTACGCACCGCCTGCTGCTGGGTCAAGTGCGCCACGATTGCGGCGCGCAGCTGTTCTGGCGACGGCCCGCCGCCACTCTGGCAGCGCTGCAATAGAGCCAGAACCTCCTAGACGCAACAACACGGAACGGCACGTGCCTAGCCGCATGTTCTTCAGCACCGCGACGTCGGCCGAGTATTTTTCCAGCGCTGCGGCAAAAGAAGCGCGTTATGCGATCGAGCCTGCGACTGAACTGATCTCTGCATATGCCGCGGGCTTCGGCGCGCCCCCCGGGCCGCCGCCAGTTCTGCAGGTGCACGCGCAAGGTCGGCGCCCCAGTCTACCTTTCAATGGTAGTTGCATCAGAGCGCCGCACTCAGCGTTGAAGATGCCACGCCGCAGGTAAACACGCGGCCAGTCGTAGCAAAACGCAGGAATCACACCAACCGCCAGGCGACTGTCCAAAAAGAGGTTGTGGGCAGAGCTGTCGAATCCAATCCGCTTCTCCATTTCCTCGAGCACGGGGCCCCCGCGGCCGGCCGCGCCCTGCAATCGGAACAGGAGGCCGCCGACCTTTCGCCCCTTCGCCCTCTTCCCATCTGACAAGCGCGCCATCTCGCAGCACTTGCCAGTGCTCTGAAGTGGCGCGAAGCGACCAGATCGATAAGGATTGGGGGATAAAATGGGGGGGGGGTCGCATCTGAATCCCAGGAGAAGCCGCCGCCTCAGCAGCGGCGCTGTCGGTGTGCCGAGTTCACGCGAAAACTACGATCCTATCCCTTCGCGCCCCATCCCCCCTGCTCCTCCTCCACCTCGTCGCCATCTCTGCCGCCCCCCCCCCTCCTTTTTTTCCGCCCCCGCCCGCCCCCCGCCGCGCAGGCGCCGCCGTCGTCCACGGCGAACCTCGGAGCGGCTGTCCTGGATGATCGCGAGGGCCCTGACATTGGATTCGCCTGCGTGGTGTCGGCGTCCAGCGACGCGTTGGGCACCGCTGCGCCGCCGGGGCCCCCGCGCCTGTGATCGCGCGCGCTGGCGCGCGCAGAGCAATTTTCGAAGCCGCTGGCCCCCGCGGCCCGCGCAGTGCCAGCGCCGGCGAGCCCGTCGTTATGCATGGCGCGCGCCCTAGCGAGGAAGAGTCGCGGCCGCGTCGCGCCGATGGCCGCCGACGCGCCATCGCCCGAATCAGCGCCGTCGGGCCCGCCGAAAAATGGGCGTGGAGACCCCGCAAGCGCGACGTACCATCGCCCTCCTCGGCGCGGAGATCAGATCAGCGCGCGAGCGCGCGGGCCAACTGTTTTCGCGCAGTGGCGCGGGGGAATCAAAATCGATGAACGCCCAATGTGCAATCTCAATGTTCCGCGCATGTCTGACGGCGAGCTCCTTGCCGGGAGCGACCTCGCAATTGTCAAGTGCCGTCCTCAAGTTGCAACTTGCGTCGGCGACAGCCCTCGTGAACTTCTCTCTGAATTCAGAGCTTGAACCGCACGTTATCCGCAGCGTGGCCACCGGGCGCTGCGCCCGTAGGTCGAACTTCTCGCCCCTAGACATTGGGGCGCAGGTCTTTCCGAGGCAACGGGCCGAAGCTGCGGCGTCTCTGATTCGCCGCGCCGCTCCGCGCGCGAGCGTAGCTCGAACGACTTGCAGCCTCGGGAACCTCCCACTTCGCACGCGCGCGAGCAATGCCTCCAATGCTCTCTGCGAGACATGGCGCCCAGCGGCGGCGCGGAGCAGCCTGGGCCTCCGCGCGGGCGGTTCGCCCGACGCGTTCGCTGCAGAGCGCTGCGGCCGAGGCAGGCGGGCAGGCGGGCAACGGGTCTCGCGTCGCCGTCGGGCACGCGAGGGCGCGTGCTCGCCGAGAGGTGGTTGGGGCCGCGGTTAAAATTGTCGTTCGCCCGCCTGTCAAACATCGGCGCTCCATTCCGTCGCCGCGCCCCCCCCGCCCCCCCCCCCGCCTTCCCCCCCCCGCGCGCGCCGTCCGCCGCTCCCCGATCGCGCCCCAAATGGTCGGCAGATCGCCATGCGCCCAGCCGCCTGCGGTTTTTCCTGGGGCGTCAATGAGGCGCGGCGTCTGCGCCCGACTGATCTACGCCATTGTCGCATTCCACCGAATGACGTTCATGATCGGCACTTTTTCGGCTCACTCAAGCACGCCATCGTGCTGCGAAGATGCAGCGCGCAAGTAATCCAGCACATGGGGTCCTGGGGGCACTTGTCGCAATGCTACGCGCCACTATCTTCAACGCGTCAGTAATGCTGGCGTCGCTTGCGACAGGTATTCTGGATGGTGCAACATGGGCCGCGCAGTCGGGGCGCTCCTGCAAATGTCAAACAGCGCGCGCATAAGAAGCAACACCTCCCCACAACCAGCGCTAGTCTATAGCGTGAAGGTACGAACCGTGGAAGGCGCGGGGTCGTTGCATCCCCAAGATCAGTCGAGCTTTCACATAGCGCAAACGAATGAATACAGCGCCAGTGACATAGAGTACGGCGAGCGTGCCATTGTCGATCATAGCGTAACAGTAACATTGGAGGCGGAGCGTACTAGTCTGTAGGTGCACACTGCAAAAGTCGCAAACTGACCCGTCGTAGGAACAACATGGTGATGCTGCTCACGCAAACCATAAAAAAACTTGTTGTAGTGATGATGTGTTTCGTAGACAGGCGCGCACTGGGTTGTCACACAAAACCTAGCACATCCGTGGTAACATGCTTTTGG